AGTATCTAAAGATCGAAGATACTGCAGCTCTTCTGCTGCTCGATCCCTCACTGCTTCTAGTTCTACGACTTTGTCACTTAATTTGATAATATTCAAAAAGGCTTCATAATTACAATTGGCATCACGGATCTGAAATAAAGATTTTCAGTCATTTCTAAAATAATTATATCAAATAAGTTTTAATTGAATTGAATATCTAACAAAAGCAGGCACAGCCTAAAGTCACTGAAAGGGGAACCGAAGTTAATTTATAATGGTTACTAAAGCTACACTCTGAATTTTTAAAACATATTTTCAGTGTTTAGATTTTTCTTTCCTGACACTTCAGGAGTTATTCAAACAGGCACCAGCCGTTGCATTAAAAAAAAACTGAAAAATACTCCCAGGGCATCACCAAAACAGTTTTGCACCTGCAAAATGTAGTTAAATCTGATTGTTTCATTCTCACAAAGGAAAATTTGGGTCCTGATGTTTCTTCCAAGTTCCCTCAAGTTGATTAATATTTTGTCCATCAGTGCAGAAAATTGACAATAGAACACACGTTTACAACCATCTATTCCTTTTATTTATTCCACTCACATACATTAATATATGCCAAATGTATACATTGAATCAAATTCAACCCTATTAAAAATATGCATTCGTTGTACGTAATTCATGAAACAAACATGTTTGCATTCCAAAAGATTCAAAATTCTTAATATCAAACTTGCCACTTACCAACCATATAATATACTGATTAATGTAGTCGGGATCACCGAGTTGGTTGATTAATGGAAAAAGAATACCTTTTGCCAAAATTTCCTGAAAAGTTAAAATAATCCTTTTGAATAAGTTGTTATTTTAAAGTCAGAAGTCAAATGTGTCAGTACACCTGAAAACTTCACACTTCATAAAACATGCAACATGGAATTTTCAGTAGGCTAGCAAAGAACTTGACTATCTGAAAATGTGCAACAATGGAATCAAAGTCATTTATGTGTGAGGGTAACAAAGCATCAACAGAAAACATTCAAGTTTATATATTATAATACAGACGTTTTCTTACAAAGCGTCTTCAAATTCGGTCTGCATGTTAAAAACAGCTATCAATTTGATCAAAATTCCATAAACTATGAAAACTTTGCTCTGTTTGTTTCAACTGAATCAATGAATTACATTCTTGCAGTTACTCTTGGATAGCAACACATTTATTTGTATTCACCACAACCCTGTTGCCACTTTTAACAGTTTGTTGTATTAGTGAGTGCACGACAATAGATAAAGCACACAGAAGCAGTTTTAGATAAATGACTTGTACTTGAAAAACTACACACCTGCTATATGAAGATGTACATAACTCAAGGGCACAGGAAATTGAGTAATTTAAACAAGTCGAAACAGTTTTAATCATTTATGATGATTATGTGACTCAATGCCACAATACAAAAGTGAAAATGTGCAACAGAATTTTATTTGTACACATTTTCTAAAATAAAATGGTCATTTTAATGACGCTTTAGACACTATAACATTAATTGTGCAATAAAGGCCATCTGTGTACAAGAACAACAGAATAGGGTTCTCACTTTAGGTGCATTTCAAGATTCTATAAGCATGTTCACTTCAAAAAGTGCACAGATCCTGCTACCATCCACAATCCAGTTTCCTCTCAAATGCATCTGCATTTTGCCAAATTCAAACTTGATGAAAATCATTGTTATTGGATATCTTTCTGAAGAAACTATTTTTTTTAAAAATTCTTTGATATCTTTAAGAGCAACAATTTGAAGAGATACCTTTCCCCAGCTCCACCATCCCTTTATTTATTTCTGAGCTCCCTCCCCACTCCCCAGTCCTGATGAAAGGTGTAAACCCAAAACATCGAATTTCATGCTTCTCTGATGCTGCCCGACCTGCAGTGTTCCGCCACCTCCACAATGTATTGACAACAATTCGATGAAGTTTGATTACTACAGATGAAGATGGGTTCAAAACAAAAAAAAAATTAGCATTCAATGCGTCCAACGTTAAGTGACAAGAAAAAGAATCACAGAATCCCTATTGTGTGGAGGCAGGTCATTCGGCCCATTGAAAAGTCCATGCCGACCCACTGAAAAGCATCCCACTCAGACCCATCACACCACTGGCTAATCCACCTAACCTATACTCCCTGGACACTATGGACAATTTAGCATGGCCAATCCACCCAACCTGTGCATCTTTGGATTATGGGAGGAAACCAGAGTACCTGGAGGAAACCCACGCCGACATGGGGAGAATGTGCAAACGCCACACACACACACACACACACACACACACACACACACACACACACACAGACTCCCGAGGGTGGAATCGAGCCCAGGTCCCTGGTGCTGTTACACAGCATTATTAACCACTGAGCCACTGTGCTGTTTCTTTATACATCTTTTTAAAAAACAAACATTCAAAAAACTTCTAAAAAAGTTATGATTTTACACTGAAAAGGTCCAGCTCAACTTCTGAAGGCCCCTGGAAGACCTGCAAATAAATGTAATTCACAGATACTTTAAATGGCAATGAATTCAAGCTGGGAGGGCCAGCTTTCCAGATGGACCTACTTTTTTGTGATGATTTCAAAATTAATATAAAGGACTACCTAAAAACCGACTTGCATTGAATGCAAATTGCATTGAAATTGAATGTTGTTTGACCAAGGTGATGCTGATTTTGGACGAATTGTACTTAAAAACTGGCACAATTGAGGCTGATGATTATTAAAAAGAAAACAGCTTTTATACCACAGTTTATCAGCATTTTTAATACAGTATTAGAAGTTACGCAATGCACACTTAATCCAAAATCAGGAAGGCAGGAGTGGGGAATACACAAATTGCTGGAAGAGCATATTCCCATGGTTTTCCTTCTCAATGTCCACAATTACATATGGAGCCTGACACTGGCTCTTCTTCTTTCTAATTTATATCATCGCAAAGTAGCAAGATTTGAAGACTCAGGTCCAGTTTCCGTATGTGAACTGTCACACAGTTTTACCTCTCCACCAATTCCCTCAACGATGTTATTGCTTTTTTGTTACGTTACTTGTTCAACATCTTGACATGAAACAGCTTTATTTTCTCCAGATAAATCAGATAGGTCTTTGATAGATCAGATATCAAAAGGCAGCTGTTGGATTAATTATTGCTCATATCATTTTTATTATAAAATCATCTCAAAAGTTAAAAGTCTCACCCTCAGGAAGTATCTCATGTTTTTGTTATGGAAGTCTCCAGGAGGTAGAAACAAATACAATAATATCTCACAAAGATCCCTCAGGAATGCTAAAAAAAGGGAGAAAATTTGATATCAACAAGTTGCTCGTACCACACATACTGAAATTCTCCAACAGATCAGTTTACTTCAACAATAACTTTGTAGTTATCTTTTTATTTGTCTAATGAAATTGAAAAAAAGTAGCACAGGCACCCAACAGTCTTTGGATTGTTGGTTGGTTTGCCACAACCCGAGCTACAGTTATTCATTAAACATTAAACCCAAGAGTCTTATGTACTTGGAGGACCTTACAGGGTGAAGACCCAAGGACGGGGCAAAGGCCGTAGAAGGAGTTGAGAGCAAAGACGAGGTTTTTAAAACCAAAGGTGTTGTTTAACAAAGAGCTAATATGGGTCAACAAGGACAGGACAAGGAGTCATTATAATTTGCTGGCCTGAAGAACATGGTGTTTGGGACAACCTTAAATTTACTGAGGGAAGAATGTAAAAGATTGCCTGGAAGTAGAATGGAAGAGTATGTCTTCACCTGCCGGAAAATAGCTTCAATGCTTTCCCATAGGACTGGAGGAGTGCAGGGGAAATGGATGCTGTAATAACACAAGACTCCAAAAAAAAAAATAACATGCCTCCTGTTCAAGATGAAGGCTCAACATTAGTCACTTAGACTAAAATACGTCAAAAAAGAAATCACAAACACTATTACTCCTCAAAATAAGCTATAACCCAGTTACGTCAAATAAAATGACAACATGTGGTATGCAACCTTTGAAAGTTAAAACCATTAGATGCAGTCAAAGGGCACAGACCAAAACAAATGCTAAAAGCAGTTTAAGTTAGAGACAGTTTGGAGAAAATATACTGGGAATTAAGGATAAATTGCAACACTATGCCAAATGATTCCTGCAACTATCTGGTTTTAAAAAAGTGATTATTGATACTATAAAAGAGCTCTGCATGAGAAAAGTAAAAGTTTAAAGATTTTGAGAACATTTGTAGCTTTTTTTTGAAGCTTTGAGTCTACAACCTCGAAGGTAAAAAGTTCTAACTTAGTGATATTTAAAAAATTCATAGCCAAGGATCTTGCGTTTATTTGGAAAAAGGACAGAAAATGAGAGGCTCTATTTTAATAATTTTCAATTCAAGCTTTAAAAGAATGTCAGATTTAAGTGAAAAATAATCAAGGTTTTCTTGAATGTTGGTATATTGTGGGAACAGGTAACCGTGAATTAAAACCATCAATAGTTCAAAAGTATAAAATTTTTACTCTATATGCAATAACAATATAGCATTACTTTTTACAGTTTTACAGAGTACTGAAATGATTTGATATTGTTGTGGGTAATCGAGAGACTTTTGTAGAATTCAGTGACTGTTTTGTAATACGAAACATTTGATCTGAACATTTTAAATATAGCTCATGTGACTTGGGGTGGCACAGTGGCTCAGTAGTTAGCACTACTGCCTCACAGCACCAAGAACCCAGGTTCAATTTTACCTGTGTGCGACTGTCTGTTTGGAGTTTGCACATTTTCCCCATGTCTGCTTGGGTCAGTGTGAACTTGATGGACTGAATAGCCTGCTTCCACACTATAGGGATTCTATGATTCTTTTCCTAGCAGTTACAGCAATGTATTGCCTAGCTAGGAACTTGCAGCATTTTTATCCAGTGGATTTAAAGGCTCGGCATAGCTTTACTTGCTTTTAAAAGTCAATTTACTTTTATCAAAGACCTATGTACAATTCTAGATTCTGTAAAATAAAAAAAAAATCTGCCTATCAGGCTTCATCAAAACCACATCTAAAAGTCACATAAATCAAGAAATGCCCTACTCAAACCGTTAAAAAGTGGTTTGGCAAAATGTATTTCAAGCTCAAAGTCTTGATTTAGTCAGGTACAAAGGAATCATTCACCAAATATGGAGGTTACTACAAAAAGGTGCCCCCAACAGAAAACCTAATTGACAAGAAAAAGACGGCAAAAAAATTGCATTTAAAAGCAACCAAGAGGAACATCATGGAAGAACACAAAATTGCACAAGATGTGATCAACTAACTTCTTAATACTATTTAAGCAGCTACAGCAGGACAAGCTGGCACAATTTCAAAAAGGTAAAACTCTCTCATCAGAATGTGCTTTTATCAAACAAATAATAAGCATAACATGACATAGGTTTTCGGAGAATATTACAGTTAAAAAAACTTATAATTATTTAAGAAAGTTACAGACTGATTTTGGAATTCAGAAAGGCAAGTACAAGCGAAACAGTAGGTTTGTATTAGTTGAATAAGCTAAAGTTTGAAATAATTTCCCACTTCCTTATGTGTATTTAGCTAATATAGTAGAAACATTAAAATGAAGGCATAGAAAATAAAATAAACCTTCTTCATCTTTAACTGAAGTACAGATCAGGTCACGGCAGACTTCTTTCTCCATTTCCACTTCAACTTCAAAAAAAGTGTCAACAAATTCTTCTGAAGCATCTGAAGTGACAGAATTGTTGTTCTAATTGATGTATTCAAAATCATTAAATGTTTGCAGCTATATTAAAGCATTTTAGTTAATTTTAAAACAAATAGCTAAATTGGCAATGTTGGTTAAAGGTAACATAGATGACTGAGAAGAAGTACAGAAAGAGATATTCTAATGCATTATAAAAATTATCTAAATTGAAAGTCTGCAAACGTACAGAAGTAGACCCTCTGTCCCCATTAAGGCCACCATCCACTGGTAAGTAAATGATTGATCTGTATTTCAACTCCACCTACCTGTGTCGCTCCATCTCTTTTTACATCCTTGTTTTGGAAAATAATTATAGATCTCAGATTGAAAGTTACTCAAGCCAGCAAACACCCTTGCTTTCTGTGGGAGAGGTTTCCTCACTTTCATCATCCTTTGCACAAAGAACTATTTCCTAACTTCTACCTTGCGAATTTAAGGTGGTGTCCCTTACCCATGATGACAGAAAGAAAATCCCCATCTAATGCATCAATTCCTTTCAAATTCTAAAAAAAATTAAACAAAACCTTGACATTACCTATTGGAGGAAATACAAGTTTAGTTTACATACTCTTTGGGTTTGTGTTAACATTCTGGTGAATTTATGCTACACTTCCAGAGTCAACGTATCAGAGTCCATAATGCACAAGGCACTCCAGATATAGTCTAACTGGTGTTTGTATAGCTGCAGCAAAATTTCTCCCCTTTATATACAAATCCTCTGGCCACAGATACTAAATTCCAGTTGGACTTTGGATGGTTTTCTAAGACACGAACTATATTTTAATGATCTTTGCACAAAGATCCCTAGATATATCTGCATCTCTACTTTTCCCAGATGTTCATCTCCCAAACCTTCAGGTTTTGATACAAAATAGCTGATCTCACACTTAAATGCACTGAAATCAATTTGCCACAGTTCTTCCCCATCATTCAAGCCATTAACGTTTCTTTTTAATTGTAAGTTCTCAGGCACTCTACTTCCTATATCACTGGTTTGTCTGTATTAAGCATTATAGAAAGGACAAGTATTTTATTGATTAAACGTGAAGCATTTCCTTCTCCACGATGCTGCCCAAACTATGGAGAACTTCCAGTTTGTTTATAAATTTAGAAATTTCATGTTTTTGCATGAGATTGAAAATGTTCAGTTTTCTGCTGAGACAGGTATAGGTACAGGTATAGGTATATTTCCAAGTTTCTAAATAGCACCGAGTACCTATGAAATAGGCAACCAATTCAACAGCAATTAAGTATTATGTATTCAACATTGATGCCAACAAAAATTTTCCTCCAAGAGGTTGGCTACACTAGAGTTTACACTCATGTATAACATTAAGTCATATCTCTTCTTTCCTCCCCTCCCTCTGCTCCAAGTAGGAAAACATGGCCTTATGCCTTAAATGCTACTGAGGCAAACTTGCTTACCCACAAAGAAATCATTGACAAATCAAATCAAGAGGATTATTTGTTAACAACATTATTCTTAAGATGTCATTGAACTAAAGAGCACGTATCAGAAATAATGATTGTGAGATTTTAATTACTTTAAGCCAAGTTAAACAATTGAGCATTATTTAGGAAAACCAAAAGAGCTGCAGATGCTGTAAATCAGGAACAAAAACAAAGTTGCTGGAAAAGCTCAGCAGGTCTGGCAGCATCTGTGAAGGAAAAAACAGAGTTAACATTTCGGGTCTGGTGACCCTTCCTCAAAACGGGCATTATTTAAGGATGGAAAAAGATACATTCAAGAAAACCACAAAGTAAAATAAAGTGAACTGAAAAATACCAGTCATTTTCCTGTGTTATTCACACACAGAGGTGACAGCAAGGCTATTTCTCTGACTGACGGCAATAATCAGACAAATCTTTCAATTTCTATAACATTCAAGTAATTCTATTACAGGGCTTCCCCCTTGTTCTAAGACTGCTCAGGTGAAAATCTACCATGGCAAATTCATTTTAATAACACAATTGCTCTTGTTGGAGAAGAGACTGCTGAAAGGAAATCAAATAAAAGGTGTTCAAATCATTGAGTTCAGTTAGAGGAGGGAGGGAGAAACTCTCCCACTGGCAAAAGAGTCAAGAATCAAAGAACACAAGAAATAACCTCTTAGTCCATGAGAGATTAAAAAGGACATGGCTAACCTTGGACTTCAAATCTGCTTTTCCACAACTCGGACAGAATATTCACCTTTCCAAGCCTCAAATACATTTAACAATGGCACATTGGAATTCTCTGCCTCAGAGAGTTGTGAATGATTCAAAACTCTAAGTGAAATTATTTACAAGTTTTGCACCTTTTAAAAATAGCCATTTCTATTTTTACAACTGAAGTGAATAGCTTCATAAATCTGCACATTAAGTGGGCAGCAGAAAGGCAGGTGACATATAGTGTGTCTATATTTGTTTGCTGCCTATCTCCCTACATAGAGTTCCATCTAGTTTTGTACCATTAGCAAACCTAAATACACTAATCTGTGTCTCTTCATTTAGATATTTTCTATTCAGTCTGTTCAGAGGGATTTTTTTTTAAAAACACATCTGGAGCAAGTGCACTTGAACCTGAGCCTCTTGGGTCAGAGGTAGGAACACTACCTTTTCATCACAAGAGCCCCTGTGTCTCTCATCCCAGTCATTATCATTGATCGTAACAGCTGATGTAACAGCAGGGATCACTGCACCACTTCACTGGTCAATCTACCAACTTGAAAATGCCCCAGTTATATCCAGTCTGCTTGCCGTCTTTTAACCAATCTTCTATCCATGCTAAATATTACCCCCCAGCTCTGTGGGCCTGTATCTTGCCTCTTCAACTTTTGTGTACCCCTTTCTGGATGCCTTTTGGAAATCCAACTGTATCACATCTACTGGTTCCTCTTCCTCTTCCCCATTAGTTACATCCTTAGACTCCAATAATTTTGTCAAATGGGGCTTCCCTTTTGTAAAATGAGTTTATTTTCTCTAATCATATTTAGTGCATTGTTAAAACTTTCTTCGTAATACATTCCAGCATTTTTCAATTGACTGATATTGAGTGAACAAGACTGTAGTTCCCAGTCATCCCTCTCCCTCCTTTCATGATAGGCAATGTTACATACAACCTCAAATCGGAGGGATTACTGATGAATGTTAAATTTTGAAAAGTCTTGGTCAGCACATTTACTATCACAGAGGATACCTCTTTTAGAATACCAGGGTGTAGATCACAAGAACACAAGAACTAGGAGCAGGAATAGGCCGTCTGGCCCCTCGAGCCTGCTCCACCATTCAATAAGATCATGGCTGATCCTTTCGTGGACTCAGATCCACTAAACCGCATTCTCACCGTATCCCTTAATTCCTTTATTGTTCAAAAAAAAAATCTACCTTTTTTCTTTAAAAGCGTTTACTGAAGTAGCGTCAACTACTTCACTGGGCAAGGAATTCCATAGATTAACAACCCTCTGGGTGAAGAAATTCCTTCTCAGTTCAGTCCTAAATCTGCTCCCTCTAATCTTGAGGCTATGCCCCCTTGTCCTAGTTTCACCTGCTAGTGGAAACATCCTCTCTACTTCTATCTTATTTATTCCCTTCATAATTTTATATGTTTCTATAAGATTCCCCCCTCAATCTTCTGAATTCCAATGAATATAATCCCAATCTACTCAGTCTCTCCTCATAAGCCAACCCCCTCAACTCCGGAATCAACCTCGTGAACCTCCTTTGCACCCCCTCCAGTGCCAGTACATCCTTTCTCAAGTAAGGAGACCACAGTACTCCAGGTGTGGCCTCACCAGCACCTTGTACAGCTGCAACATAACCTCTCTGCTTTTTATTTCAATCCCTTCAGCAATGAAGGACAAAATTCCATTTGCCTCCCTAATTACTTGTTGTACCTGCAGAGCTACCTTCTGTGATTCAGGCACAAGGACACCCAGGTCCCTCTGCATAGCAGCATGCTGCAACTTTTTACCATTCAAGTAATAATCCTTTTTACTATTACTCCTACCAAAATGTATCACTTCACATTTATTTACATTGTATTCCATCTGCTAGACCTTTGCCCACTCACTCAATGTATCTATGTTCCTCTGCAAAGTTTCACAGTCCTCTGCACACTTTGCTTTGCCACTCATCTTAGTGTCATCTGCAAACTTTGACACCCTACACGTGGTCCCCAGCTCCAAGTCATCTATATAAATTGTAAATAATTGCGGTCCCAACACCGATCCCTGAGGCACACCACTAGTCACTGACTGCCAGCTAGAATAGCACTCATTTATCCCCACTCTTTGCTTCCTGTTAGTCAACCAATCCTCTATCTATGCTAATACTTTACCCTTAATGCCATGCATCCTTATCTTATGCAGTAGCCTTTTGTGCGGCACCTTGTCAAAGGCCTTTTGGAAGTCTAGGTACACCACATCCACTGGGTTCCCATTGTCCACCTCACTCGTAATATCTTCATAGAATTCCAAAAGATTTGTCAAGCATGACCTGCCCTTCATGAACCCATGCTGCGTTTGCCCAACGGGACAATTTCTATCAAGATGCCTTGCTATTTCTTCCTTGATAATAAACTCAAGCATCTTCCCCACTACAGAGGTTAAGCTAACCGGTCTATAATTCGCCATCTTTTGTCTACTTCCCTTTTTAAAACAGTGGCGTCACATTTGCTGTTTTCCAATCTGCTGGGACTGCCCCAGAGTCCAGCGAGTTTTGGAAAATTACCGCCAGTGCACCTGCTATTTCTCCCGCCATCTCTTTTAGTACCCTGGGATGCATTCCATCAGGGCCAGGAGACTTATCAATCCTTAGTTCCATTAGCTTGCCCAACACTACCTCTTCCGTAATTATGATTGTTTCCAGGTCCTCACCTACCTTTGTCTCTTTGTCTATTACTGGCATGTTATTAGAGTCCTCCACTGTGAAGACCAATACAAAATACCTGTTCAATGCCTCGGCCATTTCATCATATCCCATAACTAAATTCCCCTTCTCCTGCTCTAAAGGGCCAATGTTTACTTTAGCCACTCTTTTTCGTTTTATATATTTATAGAAACTTTTGCTATCTGTCTTTGTATTCTGTGCTAGTTTTTTCTCATGTTCTATCTCACTTTTCCTTATAGCTTTTTTTGTGGCTTTCTGTTGACCTTTAAAGTTTTCCCAATCTTCTAGTTTCATGCTGTTTTTGGCCACTTTGTATGCCTTCTCTTTCAATTTGATAGCCTCCCTTATTTCTTTAGACACCCATGGCAGATTACCCCTTTTCTTACAGTCCTTCCTTTTCATTGGAATATACTTTTGCTGAGATCATCATGTTCTGGATTTGTCAGATTTTAGTCCCTTGTGTTTGTGCAATACTTTTTCTCCATTGGTACCGATTACCTTAATGTCTTCATTCTTTTTAGTTCCTAGGTACGTAACCTGCCCGATTTCTCAATAGAAGGCAAAATATTTATTCAATGCCTTTGGTGATTTCATCATTCCCCACGATAATTTCTCTAGTCACTAGTTGTAACAGAAGAATGTTTTGTTATTTATTCTCTTCCTCCGTTCGTAAAGTTCTTACAATCTGTTTTCAGATTTCTGTTCTGTTTCTATTTTTGATTTTTTTATTATTTTACCCTCGTCAACTTTTTGTTGGCCTTTGATTGGTTTCTGAAACACTCCCAATTCGAAGACACTACTGTTCTTTGCAACATTATAAATCTCTGTTCATAAATTTAGTACTATCCTTAGCTTTGAGTGAGCCATAGATGGGTCTTTCTTGTTGGCTTTCTTTTCCCCCTAATGGGACACAGTTTCGTTGAACATTTTACGTTTTTCCCATTGTTCATTTATCACCATACTTCTTAGCCTATTCACCCCAACAATCTTAACCAGATCTCCCCTTATATCTATCTGATTCTGTTTAAGATTCTTGCATGTAACTGGAGATATATCACCAAATTTACCATGTAATGAATGGCATTATGATTACAAATTCCAACTATTTTACTACAACTTTACTAATTACCACTGCCTCATTACACAATACTGGATTAGAGATAGTTTTATTGCTAGTTGGTTCCACAATGTTTTACACCAAAAACTGTAAAGAAGAAAGGACATTGCACAGTCATCTCCTAGACCACTCTTGCCAATTTCACTGTAAAAGTCTATGAAGAGCAAAGTCTCATGCAATGATTGCATTACCTTTGTGAAAAGTACAGATTTTTAAAATATTTAATTATATAACTACCATTAGGAGGCCTATAAATTACTCCCATCAGCTATTTCTGAATCTTGCCATTCCTAATTTCTACTGATATAGATTCTACTTCAGAATTTTGTGAAGCCAAACCCTCTCTCACTAATGTGTTCATGTCAACCTTTACTCCCAGGGGTGTCCCTCCTTTTTTGCCATTCTATCCTTATAAAACACTGTAACAATGAATATGCATTTTCCAACTTTGGTCAACTGGCAACTAGGTCTCTGTAACGGTGTTTAAATCTAAACCATTTACCTTTATTTGCATACTAATTCATCTATCTTTTTGCAGGCATTTCATGCATTCAGATAAAGGACCTTGAATTTTTTTTTTTTAAAACTTCCATTTCTTTCAATTACCTTACTCATGACGCAAAATTTACACTGTACTCTGTCCTCTCCTGTCCGACTCTTCCTACCTAGGATTTTGCATTACTGAAGGCAATTTGAAGTGAGAGTTGAGTCTCATCAATAAAGAGCTCAAAAAAATACAGGAGGTGAAAAATCTAAAATAAGCATTTTTTTTTCCATTCACTTCTGCTGCAGGATATCCAAGTGAGTTCAATGGCAGAGTCAGTTGCTAGTTAAATACTCTTATTGCAGCACTTTTAAAGATAACTGAAGTCAGTTCTCAATACTCCGCATCTGCTTGCGCAGTCTCAATACCTGGGCAAATGACAATGAAATTCCTTTATGACCTGTACCTAATAAATCTTCCATTCAAAGATGAGCCAAGATTTTAAAAATTGGTCAAAACTAATGTGCTGTCTCCTAAAAATATTGGCTCACATTTAAGATCTGCCCAAAACTGGTCAATTCCAAATTCAATCTTCTCTCATTTCCCTATTGGTGGTCAACCAGCATGGGATTGTGAGTACACAAGTAGATTTCAGGTCGGATCAGCTCAAAATACAACATTTAAGGCAAATACAAAAATCAAAATTTAAATCACACTAATTTTAAGAAAGAAAAATAGCTACAGACTTCCAAATCAGATTTCAAGTGTTTAGCAGAGTGAACTTTCCCAGAACATTTCATCCTTCTCACTTATGTATATGAAGCATCGCTACTTTTCACTATCACTAACAGTGCTTTTAGCAAACAGTCTACAGTTGCTTCTAGTTTACAGTGGGTTCTCCCACACCCCCACCTCATCAAGTAATAAATTGGAATTTCAGACAGCTTCTTAAATCTGCCACAGTAAATCCCATTTTGCTGATTGTTCTTTTCCCAGCTGAAATTAGACAAAACTCCCTCATTCTTAGATTATAGCAGGATGTATTTCTATAACTGGAAATGGTCTTCCTCCCACATTGGGCTGTGGCCGCTTTAAAGCCAAACACAGTCTTTTCAACCTGCTGACAATGCAGAATTATCTGTGAAATTTATTGAATAGGTGGAGTAATCACGTGATCTCAAAATGGCTTCCTCTGCCTTCTTAAACTTGGGGACATGCGAGGTTAATGCACTGTGTTCAGGTAGAACAGTTATTTTGCTGCTGTTGATTCCAAATTTTCTTTCGTCTTAGAAGTGAAGATATAGATTAGAGTATTACTGTTTACTATCAGCTATCCATATTTATGGGATTTCAGAAGAGTGAAAGATTAATCACAGCAAATATAAGACTGCTGCCACTGCCACCAAGCATAAATACTTCATGCTCTTTTCATTAGTAAAGTAATCCAAGCCTTTCTTCGAACTCTTAACAATCAAACTTTGAGACTTGGTGTCAGGCAGACTTCAGAACAGTCATATGACTCCCCTCATTTACTCTTTAAAATTTAAAGCTACCGTTCCAAAACATCAATTTTAAATTTCCAATTGTTACATATTTTATATTGTCAGCAAACTTTGATGTATTCCTCTTGGTCTATCCACATAAGCCATTATGATTGATTGTAAGTAACTGAAATCTGATCCTTGCAGCCTATTTGAAAATACCCCATTTATTGCTAACCTTCTCATCAGTTAACCAATCCTCCATCTATGCTAACATATTACCCTGTTAATCCAGAAGCAAATCATACATGTCCTATTCTAAAAGGAGCTGAAACGTAGATACAGCTTGAGCCCAGATATCCATGCACCCAGGTTATCTCTGCACAAAAGGAAAAACAGACACACAACCAAAATAACAGAGGAATAGAAAAGACCAAACCCATGCAGCTCAAAATAAAAATCAGTTGGCTTGATAACTATTTCATACCTTTTTTTTGCCTCGAGTCTTCTATCCTTTGTTGAGTTTTCCTAAATACATGAAGGTGTGCAGCAAAGTCATTTACCAACCGTGTAGTAAAGTACGGTTGCCAGTCTACCTCCTTTGACCTGTTAATTAGTAACAACAGACAATGAAACGGAAACCATAACATGATACAGAACATTTTCCAAAACTGTGATAACGATTTTTTTTTTAATGAAACTAGAAATGTTTTTGTCCTGTATTTACCAGTTCTCGTGGTATTAACTTTCCTCAGACTAATTCTCTACTGTAACTTGGTTAAGAGGGGGACAGGATTGGCTGCTCAATGTTCCAGGGTTTTGTTGTTTTAGATAAGATAGATAGGAAAGTAAAAGAGGTGGAGGAGTTGCATTACTAATCAGAGAGAACGTCACATCTGCACTCAGACAGGACATAATGGAGGGCTCATCCACTGAGGCAACATGGGTAGAGCTCAAAAATAAGATGGGTGCAATCAGTCTGATGGAGGGGTCTATAGTATAACGCTAACAGCCACCGAGACATTGAGGAACAAACATGTAGGCAGATTATGGAAAGATGCAATAACAACAGAGTTGTCATAATGGGTGACTTTAACTTCCCCGATATTGACTGGGACTCCCTTAAAGCAAGAGGTCAGATGGGGCAGAATTTGTTAAGTGCATCTAAGAGGGTTTCTTGAAACAGTATGTGCTAAGTCCAACTGAAAGGGCCATACCAGACCTTGTATTGGATAATGAGCCTAGCTAGGTGACTGACTTAATGGGAGAGCATTTTGGAAACAGTGATCACAACTCCTTAAGTTTTAAGATAGCTACAAATAAGGATAAGTCAAGACTTTGCAGGAAGGCATTAAACTGGGGGAAGGCAAATTGATCAAAAGCAACAAGATCTGGACAATATCCAGGCTGCGCTGACAAGTGACAAGTGACACTCGCACGACACAAATGCCAGGCTATGACCATCTCCAATAAGAGACAATCTAACTGTTGTCCCTTGACATTCAATGGTGTTACCATCATTGAATCCCCCACTATCAACATCCTGGGGATTATCATTGACCAGAGACTCAACTAGACTCACCACATTAACACAATGGCTACAAGAGCAGGTCTGAAGCTAGGAATACTAGCGAGTAACTAACCTCCTGACTCCTCAAAGCGTGTCCACCATCTACGAGGCACAAGTCAGGAGTGTGATGGGATACTCCCCACTTGCCTGGAAGAGTGCAGCCCCAACAACACTCAAGAAGCTTGGCAACATCCAGAACAAAGCAGCCCGCTTGATTGGCACTTCATCCACAAGCTTCCACTCCCTCCACCACCAACGCTCAATAGCAGCATCTAGAAGATGCACTGCAAAAATTCTCCAAAGATTCTCAGCAGCACCTTCCAAACCCATGACCATTTCCATCTAGAAGGACAAGGGCAGCAGACATATGGGAACACCACTACCTCCAAGTTCCCCTCCAAGTCACTCACCATCCTGATTTGTAAATATATCACTGTTCCTTCACTGTTGCTGGGTCAAAATCCTGGAATTCCCTCCCTAACAGCATTGTGGGTCAACCTACGGCAGGAGGACTGCAGCGGTTCAAGAAGGCAGCTCACCACCACTTTCTCGAAGGCAACTAGGGATGGGCAAGAAATGCTGGCCAGCCAGCGATGCCCACATCCCACAAATGAATCGAGAAAAAAAAACATCAAACATCAGGCAGGAGCTAGGAAGTGTTAATTGGGAGGAGCTGTTATTGGGCAATTCCACATTTGACACGTGGGAGTTGTCTAAAGACCTGCTGATCAGAGTTCAGAACCAGCATGTCACAGTAAGGAGGAACGACAAAGATGGCAAGGCAAGAGACCCTGAGACAATGAGGGAGGTTGTGAATTTCGTCAAAAATGAAAAAAAAAGGCAGATATAAGATTTAGGAAGCTAAAACTGGACAGGGACCATGAGGAATATAAAGAAAGCAGGCAAGATTTCAAGCAGGTAATTAGGAGAGCAAGAAGGGGCCATGAAATAACCTTGGTAAGTAGGGTTAAAGAGAATCCCAAGGCATTTTATACATACATTAAAAATACGAGGATAACTGGGGAAGAGGGTAGAACCACTCAAGGATAAAGGAGGGAACTTGTGCTTGGAAGCAGAGGACGTGAGCAAGATCCTAAATGAGTACTTTGCATCAGTATTCACCCAGGAGAAGGATACGGAGGATAGTGAGATTTGTGTGGAACATACTGATGTGCTAGGGCATTTTGAGATCAAGGAAGAAGTGGTGTTGGGTCTCTTGAAGAGCATTAAGGTGGATAAGTCCCCAGGGCTCAAAAGGTATCTACTCCAGGTTATTGATAGAGGCAAGAAAATAAAGAGATTGCTGGGGCCTTGACCAAGATTTTTAAATTCTCGTTAGCCACTGGAGAGGTCCCAGAGGACTGGCGAGCAGCTAAAATTGTTCCTGTTTAAAAAGGGAAATAGGGATAATCCAGGAAACTACAGACCAGTGAGTCTCACATCAGTGGCTGGGAAGCTATTGGAGAGAATTCTTTGGATTAGGATTTATACACATTGTCCCTAATTACTGCAAGGCAGGTTATGTGTTATTAATTTGACTGAATTTTTGAGGAGGTGACAAAGGTGATTGATGAGCGCAGAGCAGTGGATATTATCTGCATGGATTTTAGTAGGGCTTTCGACAAGGTCCTTCATCCAAAAGATTAAGATGCCTGGGATCCATGGTGACTTGGCCCTGTGGATTCAGAATTGGCTTGCTCACAGAAGGCAGAGGACAGTGGTGAAAGGTGTCCTTCTGGCTGGAGGTCCATGACTAGTTGTGTTCTGCAGGGATCCATACCAGGACCTCTGCTGTTTCTGATATATATAAATGACTTGGATGAAAATGTAGATGGGTGGGTTACTAAGTTTGCAGATGATACAAAGATGGGTAATGTTGTGGATAGTGTAGAGGATTGTAAAAGGGTACAGTGGGATATAGATCAGTTGCTGTTATGGGCAGAGAAATGGCAGATGAAGTTTAATCTGGGTAAGCATGAGGTGCTGCACTTTGGGAGATGAAATGTTAAGGAAAAGTATATACTTAATGGCAGGACCCTAAACAGCATTGATGTACAGAGGAATCTTGCGGTTCAAGTCCATAGCTCCCTGAAAGTGGTCACACCAGGTGGTAAAGACGACAAATGGCATGCTTGCCTTTTGGTCAGGGAAGTGAATACAAGTGTCAGGGTGTCATGCTGCAGCTTTAAGACTTTGTTTAGGCCACACTTCAGGAGAATTGTGTTCACTTCTGGTCGCCACATTATAGGAAGGATGTAGAACTTTGGAGAGTTGCTGAAGAGGTTTACCAGGATGCTGCCTGGAATAGAGGCTATGAGCTACAAGGAGGGGCAAGAAAAAACTCGGGTTGTTTTCTCTGGAGCGGAGACTTGATAGAAGTCCGTAAAATTATGAGATGCACAGATAAATTCTGACTGGCAACCCTTTTCAACCCTGGTGGGGGGGAAAATGTCTAATACAGGGGGCATGCATTTAAGGTGAGAGGGGGAAAGTTCAAAGGAGATGTGAGGGGCAAGTTTTTATTTAAACACAGAGTGGTAGGAGTCTGGAATGCACTGCTGGGGTGGTGGTAGAGGCAGATATAATAGGAGCGTTGAAGGGACTTTTTAAGTAAGCACATGAATATGCAAGGAATGAAGGGATATGGACCAAGGGCAGGCAGAAGGGATTAGTTTAATTTGGCATAATATTCAGCGTAACATTGTGTGTTGAAGGGCCCGCTCCTGTGCTGTACTGTTCTATGTTCTAACTAATTGTTCTGATGAAGTTGCTTACAGCTGTGTCGAATTTTGGCAAATTAAGAAATAATTTATTATCTCTAGTGGCTGATTTGGTAACCAGAAGATGCTGATTTAAACATTATTAGCAAATTAAAGAACCAGAGAAGAGGTGAGGAAAAGTAGTTATCTGCTAAAATTTGTTTTAATCTGATAAGCACTATCCAAAAAGGTTGGCGGAAGCAAATTTAGTAACACTAAGGGACTCAGTGAAGGCTCAGAACCAAAGTGGAAGGGGGTGTGCCAAATGTATCAAATGTGTACTTTGTATTTGTCCTCATAATGTAAGCAGATAATGCAAAAGTTAAATTGAAAATGGAAAATAAAATTAGTGGATAGCATAGTAACAGGGAAGGTTAATAAAAGTATCATTCATAAAAGCTGATAAGTCACCGGGTCCACAAAAAATTAATCTAAGTTGCTGAAAGAAATGATTTTACACAAGGGTTGAGAATTGGTTGACAGGCAAGAAATAAAGAATGGGAATAAATAAGTCTTTCTTCAGATTGCAGAAGGTGACGAGTGGTTTATCACAGGGGACACTGCTTGGGCCCAGCCATTCATGAATTATACAGATATAAATGAAATGAATTAGATGAGGAAACTAAATGCACTATTCCCAAGTTTGCTGACAACACAAAATGAGGTGGGATTGAGAGTTGTGAGGAAAATGCAAGGAGGTTTCAGGGCAATTGAGATGAACTGAGTGTGTAGGCAAACATTTGAGATATTGAAGGCATCAAGGAGTATGGAAAGAAACTGAGAAGATGATGTTGAGCTATTGGATCAGCTATGATCATATTGAATGGCTGAGCAGATCCAAAGGACTAGATGGTCTACTCCTTGGCCTAGTTTCTAAGCTTTCAGGGTCATTAACAATTTTGATTTTGGAATCAAAATATAATTGCTACGTTTGGGGATTGGTCAGCCCTGAAGACTGCAACAAATTACAGGAGGGAACTAACAAGGTTGCATAATGGGTAATTGGTAAACGAAGTTCAATCAAGAAAGAAGATATATTTTAGTAGAAAAAGGAGGTGGCCACATGTTGTGCAAGTCTTGGTAAAGGGACAAGAATCTCAGAGTACACATATATCAAATCAATAAAAAAAATGGGCCACAGGTTAACAAAGCAACCACAGTACACCAGTTTTAATTTCAAAGAGTTTTGGAAAATAGGGAAGATATGCTGAATCTCGTTCAGGCAGATGTAAAAAGGACTGCAAGAAATTCTAGTTGCTATATTACCAAAGAATTAAAAATATCAAAAGGTGCAGAGAAATTCTACCAGAAATGCACGGGTATACATTTTAAGAAAGGATTGAAGGCTAGCTCAACTCTTGGGAGGACCAAAAAGGCTGATAGGTGACCAAGGGGTTTTGATAAAGTAGATATAGGAAGAATGGTGCCCACAGTGGGAACAGAATAGCTAGAGGCTATGAATATAAAGACAGCCCCTGGGTTGCGAAGGTTCCATTCTGAAGTCCGCTTGCAAGTTGATTTGTATGCAGGACAGTTTAAAAAAAAAAGGAACTGTTCATAAGGTAGTTACCAGAATATCTAACAGGTACCTCAAAAGAAACTTTACATAAAAAAAGAGTAAATGTTGCTCCTACAGGGAGTGGTTAAAGCAAATGCTCCTACATCAAATGTTCTTACTCTTACTCCCTAATTTGTAAGATCATATGTTCAAATAGTACAGATGCAGGCTAAGTGGATTAAACATAGTAAATGCAGGGCTAGGGGCTGGATCTGGGTGGGATGCTCTATAGAGGGTCTATGCAGACTCAATGGATCCAATGGCCTCTTTGCACACTGTTGGGATTTTATGAATCTATGGCCTGTTTGGAACAAACAAGTTATCGATCATGCCCAACTAGCCCAAGCTTGTAAAACTCAACAATATCCAACATCAGATGATAATTCACAAATTGACAAGATGTGCTGTATAATTTGTTGTGTGTGAAGAGTGATGCCAACAGCCAATTTAGGACCAATTGTCATAGAAGTTTCTTATATTTATACACAGGGTCTGGTCCTTTGCAGACAGAAAAGACATAGACATGCAATGCACTTGCATCAACTCAACAAAATATGAGAAAGCTGTTCGCTAGTCATTTGACAGCAATACCTTAATCTATACAAATCAGTCAGTCTGCCTGGTTTAAAATTTAAGCAAAGCCTGGGTGTTAAATACCAATTGTCAATAACTTGTACATTTTCCATGGCAAATCGCCAACTGAGCAGTCTACCTGTCAAGCAATTAGCACCATCTTCTCATACAGTATAATTGTTAGTCTAAATTGGTGTTCTTGTGAATTTGTCTTGATGAATGCAAGATTAAAAACATTGACAAAATGTGCCCTGTATCATCAATTCAAATTCTGTGCTACCAAATAACTAAATATTCACTTGTTATGATGGAAGCAGAGATAATCAAGGATTACAAAAGCAAATTAAGTGGGCATTTAGAGAAAATAAATTTGCAGGATCCACCGATAGAGAGGGGGAATAGGATTAACTGGATTGCCCTACACAGAGTGTATGGATCTGATGGGGATAAATGGCCACCTGATATTTTGTAATGATTCTTGAGAAAGCTTTTTTTTATATAAAGTGACCACAAGAAAAGGACCAATATTTCTTAATAGAAGGAACCTGAACTTAGTACTGGAATTTAGCCCTGAACATGCTGTTTATGGCCTATTTACTATGCTTCAATACTGAAAATTCACCTGTCTGCTACTGTACAATACTCTGCAAAGCAAAACAATACTTTTCACTGTAACTTGCTACATGTGACAATAATCAAATCATACGCCTTTCTACTACAGAATAGTTTCAAATAAATCCAATTTACCTTGTGGCAAACTGAACGAGTGCATTTTGTATAGTTTTTCTGACTTCGAGTAAAAAAGACTCATCATCACTTAGAGTATAATACCAGTACTGGATATAGTCCCTTAGTGCAAACTGGATGACCTGAAAATGGAGAGAGTGTATGCTCACTTATCTTTTATGGCTTTACTACATGGTGCTAGAACAATTCAAGCAAAACAATTTAAGCAGTTAATACTAATTCTCATTATGCATGTCTTGCAAATTCATTGTTATATGAAATAATACATATGATATTAATATATTTACTTCACAGAAAACAAATAATATTCTAAGTTAACACCAACACTTCTGAAAACTATAGATAACAATATATTCAAACAAATGTAACAGAATTGTAGCAAAAAGTATACTACATAAGTACACCTCAAAACGGATAGGGAAAACCATCACACTTCTATCATTTCACAAGGGTGCTTCAGTGTTTCAGGGGAAGTTGATCTTCAAATAAAATCTGGTACTCCCAACCGTCTTTCACAATCTTACACTTCTGACAATTTCAATTCTGCCCAATACTTTAAGAAATATTGTACTCTATTTTGCACTTGATCCCACAACTTATGTTTCATGGGCAATGCTATGACTAACTGAGCCAAGAAGACAGTGAGGAAGGAGGGCTCCTGTGGCTCAGTGCTAGTGTCCCTACCTTTGGCCAAGGAGGTCTGGATTCAAGCCCCACCCGCTACAAGAGTATGTCATAGCACGTCTGAACAGGTTGTCTAAAATAACTGAAGATATTTTCTAACTAACCTGCTCGAGGATGAACTAACTGTACTGAGGAAGGTCATTGATGAAGCAGCCGAAGATAGTTGGGCATAGAACATTACCAAGAGGAAGTTGCTCTTTTGTGGTGCAGCCACAGTGTTCCTACCTTTGAGTCAGGAGGCCTGTGCTGAGGTCTCACATGCTTTGGAAGTGTGCAATTACATCCCTCTATCATTATCTCGATAAAAGAATTATGATAAATTTGTCAGGGGTGATTTCCCCTTCATGAAGTGATACGGATTGTGCTTGGTCATCTTATATATTTCTAAATGCTCCACAATTATATCCTTTATAATAGGCTAACATTTTCCCTAGAGCAGACGTTAAGCTAACTTGCCTATAGTTATCACTGTTTTCACTACTCTTTTTGAGTAAGCATGTTACACTGCAGTTTTGCAATCTTCCAAGACTTTTCCAGAATCTAAGGATTCTTGGAATATTACTACCTGTGCAGCTACTATCTTCGTAACTAGTTCCTTTAATAACTTCAGATGCAATCCATCAGGTCTGAGGGCTTATCAGCTTTTAATCTCATCAGTTTTCCTGGTATTTTTTCTGTAATGAGTTACTGGATTTATTTACACCCTTACCTTTGCCCCTTAATTTAGTATTACTTTTGCTATTAGTGTATTTTACTGTAAAGTCTAACGCAAAGTATTTATTCAACTCCTCTGCTATTTCCCAGTTCCCATTACTTTCTCCCTATCCTAATTCTGTAAGGGCCTCTCTTTTCCTTTTTTTTTTAAGTTAAATAAGCTCTTGATATTACTTTCAAGTTTACCCTCAAAGTTGCTCTTCATCCTGTTGATTAATTTTTTTAAAAAATAACTTCTGTTGACTTTAGAAGTTTTCTCAATCCTTCTAATGATTAATCTTTGCCACATTGAAAGTAAATATATTCAATCTGATGCCAGCCTGAACTTCCCTGGTCAACCATGGCTGGCTTATCCCCTTCTTAGAATCCATCATTCTCACCAGGATATAGCACTGTAAACTACTTTGTTAAATGTATGCCATGTGTTCCTCAATGCTTTTGCTGCCAAACTCCCTCCCTAATCCACTCCAGCGAGCTCTGACCACATTCCTTTGTACTTACTTTATTTAGGCTCAGCAGAGTTGTTTCCGACCAAAGCTCCTCTCTCTCAAACTGAATGCTAAATTCTACCACGTTATGGCCATTGTTCCTAGGGGATATTTTACTCAGATCATTCATTAAACCTGACTCATTACACACCACCAGATCCACAACTGATTGGATCCACAAAATATTGTTCAAAAACATTATACGAAATACATTATAAATTTTCCCTCATATTACCTCTGCCAATCTACAAAGATGAATAAAGTCACCTACTCCCTTTTTAAAAAAAATGCCCTCATTACTTCACACTTTATTGCCATTCCTACTGTGCAGCTACTATAGGGGTACCTATAGACTACTCTTACCAGTGTTTTCTTCCCTTGGTTATTATTTCCACCAATATGGATTCCATAACTTCTAACCCAAGGTAATTTCTTGCTATCACACTTATCCCATCCCATACTAACAATGCTACCTCACCAACCTTTCCTTCCAGTCATTTTGAAAAGTCACACACCCCTGAATATTTATCTCCCAGCTCTGATCTCCCTGTAACCCCCATGTTGCCACGATGGCTACAAGATCAGAGCTTCCGCTCCAGGTCCTTGATGCTAGAAAAGGCTTGCCACCAGTTTGTTAACTTTCCAAAGACAAAAGTGACATGATGCACTCTGTAAAATCTCCATCATCTCAGCAAAAGTGCTGACAATGGTGTTTCACATGTAAATGAGTTATAACAAAAGCCAAATACCACAGATGCTGGAGATCCTAAGTAAAAAAAGTGCTGTAAAAGTCAGGTCTGACAGCATTCATGGAGAGAGAATCAGAGTTAAAGTTTCAATTCCAGTATTTGTCTTAAGAACAATAATACTGGACTTGAAATGTTAACTCCATTTCTCTCTCCACAGATGCTACCAGACCTGAGTTTCTCCAAACCTTGGTTTTTACACTATAGTTATAAATTAATTTTTCGTGAAATTTCCCTTCCAACACAAAATACACATGCTGCGAAACCATAATTTAAATTAACTTATCACTCTTGGAGTTCAAGATCACCAATGGAACCGAGGGCTGAAAGTGACATTTCAAGATAATGAAATATTGAACTAAGCAACATGCTGCACATCTTACAATGGAAAAACAGTATGGGGAAAAAAAAAAGACCAGTTATAACCACAGACATTTTCCAAGAAAAGTGGCAACTTTTAAGGTGTGGGGCTGGGTGATGGCATTGGTAGGTTTCACTTACAGGTCATGTTCTTTGATTTAACTTAACTGAGGCGATACATTTTGATTTCTGGGTTTTTCCACTACTTAGCTAAGAACAGACATCACCTTTACAGGTGTTGCAAGCAACTCCTATTTAAAAAAGGAACAAATGTAGAAACCGAATCTACAGGAGCCAGTTCCTGTAAGACTGCACGAATAACAGACGCAAAAAGCAAGGGCAGTTGCTAAATTTACATGATGCGGAATTACTTTTGGCTGTGGTCAGCTGCAAGAGGGACATACTTTTCCCCAACTCTGAAGCAGCTCTCATCAAAGCAGAATGGCTGGAGATAGTGCTGAGCAAACGAGAGTATTGTGCCCTAGTCTTGTTAAAAGTTCAGGAAGCAACTGAATGATTTCATTAGCTCAAGAAAAGTGTGTAAGTTTGCTGTTCTGTCTATATCCCGTGAATTAAGCCTACCTCAGCTCCAATCCTAACACTTTGTCTTGCCAAGTGTATTCCTTAACATGACCCAAATTTCAACAGACCCCAAGGTTCACTTTCTACCTTCAAATCTTCCCAATTTATTCAACCACCATTGTCACTCTACCCAATTCAATGCCTAAGTCTTATTAACCCTTACCATATAACTGCACCCATGGGATGAATACAGAACATGTTATGCACAGGCCTGTTTCTTTGTTCCTTATAGCACAGTGTGCGAAGTGCAAGACAGAGAACCCAGAATAGGCTAACACAAATAATTTGGCTTTCAACTGCAGAAAACAATGCAGCAGCATTTCTGAAGAAGGGTCTAGGCCCAAAACATCAGCTTTCCTGCTCCTCTGATGCTGCTAGCCCTGCTGTGTTCATCCAGCTCTACACTTTGGTTATCTCTTAATGCAGCAGAACAATTGTCATTGGTCATGTACAAGGCTAATTCGAAGAGAATGCACAATTACAGGACACACAAGCACTCACTAAAGTACTTACTTTGGAAGAATCAATTCAATGTTATTATTTTTCCCTCTGGTAAATCACATTTCACAGGTAAGCTCAAGAACACAAAGTTCTATACATAGAACATACACTTGACACTACAATTATTTTCAAAGTTCACTCAGTTAGGCAGGGATGAACATTCAGTGTCACTGTTGAGAACTAGAATGCAAAAGGAGCATCAGAAACTTTGAAAGGTAGCAGCAGATCTGCTCCCCCACACTTCACCTTTAGCCTTTCCACTACTGTAAACGATTGAGGCTTGGTCACTGGTGGATTGATGTCAGAAAGTCTTCCTGGTAAGCCAAACAAGTCTCTCATGCAAATCTATCCATCCCCTTTGCACAACTGTGCAGAATTTAGGCGCTACAGATCTATTACCTTAAACAAAACAGCTGATACCATACCATGTCAGGGATCTTCAGCACACCAAACAGCAGCAGCATGGCAACAGAAATGTGGTATGATTCAAGACAGCAATAATGGTGATGGGGAACATAAAACTGGGCACTCTATTTGCAACAATAACAATTTTCACCCTTTTCTCCATAACCGTACCAGAGCCAATACCCAACAAACTGCCTCTTCTCCTAATGTAGAATTTTGCCCCTGTACAGGTGCAGATGCAGCATTTACAGGGAATACAGCAGTCTCTGAACCAAGAGCACAAAGGTTAAAAACACCTCAGCAGTCTGGCAGGAATCTGAGCTCCTGGTCTCTACTTCTGTTGAACACGTTCTGTGTTCACCACATACAAAATAGTAGGAAGTGCAAAAGCAAGCTACTGTAATTGATCAAGAGAACACACGCAAGTGGTTCAAAATTTACCGGTTGGCACCACTTTCACTTCCTGCTCATGATATCCGATACAGAATTTCATGCTTTCACTTGTATTTTCATAGAACAATAGAATCCCTACATATGGAAGTCCACACTGACCCTCCAAAGAACAGCCCACCCAGACCACGTCCCCAGCCCATGCCCATGGCTAATCAACCTAGACTGTACATCTTTAGACTGTGAGAGGAAAGCAGAGCGCCTGGAGGATACCCACGCAGACACAGAGAGAATGTGCAAACTCCATGCAGTCGCCCAAGGGCGGAATTGAAGCTGGTCCCTGGTGCAGTGAGGCAGCAATGCTAACCAGTGAACCATCATACCACCCTGTTGGTAAATGGGCTTAAACATGTGTCTTATCAATCAGACAATGGGTTATGGTAGACATTGGCTGAAGGATTGCGTGGGGAGGAACAAAGTTTGGTGCTGTTGGGAAGACCATGGGATTATATTTGTGATGTTCCTGTGTGCATAACCACTAGCTTAACCTTCAAGCTAGTGGGGGGGGTATCCTTAGCAACAGTCAATGCAGCAGTCTGCTGGTGCATCAATTTTTGCTCCATCCAATTAATTGTTTTCTTTATTTGAAGACCAGTGATAAGCACTTTGTCCTCCTCCACTTGCAATCTTTTCTACTGGATAGTCTTGTGCCCATCCATAATTGCCAAGCTGGAGGGACTGCACTCGCCTAGTTTCTTTCTCATCTAATTACTGGTGGAGAATCACTTGAATAGCTTCACTTCCTATTCCTGCTAGCATTATCTGTATTGTCCCCAAACATCTATCCTTGCCCGCCCCAACCTCTTTCATTTCTCCTCTGCATGCTGCTCCGGTGACATTTGAAAACAGCTACTTTTTAACATGTACAATGGTGCACTCAGCTCTCTCTCACCATGGTCTCTTTCAACTTCTTCAATGACATGAAATTATCAGGCTTCCTGTCTAATATGTAACACTGGTTGAACAGAAAGTTCTCTAATTTGATATTATTAAGATTGAAGTCATTGTCTTTGGTTATCGCTACAGTAATTCCTATTCCTTCATTCCATCTCCCCAGCAACTCAGGTTGCACAAAATTACTCAATTTTGTCATATTCAACCCCAACGCCTCTCTCTCACTTTCTACTTCCACCCCAAGATATACCTCCACTACATTATCTTACAACATAAACATATTGTTAAGACAGTGTATTTGTTTCTCTCACTTCACCCAACCTCACTGCTATCTATGCTGATCTGTTAAGACCTTACACTTTGGTCTAAATTTGATCTTGAACATACCAATGTATTACAGGCAGGTCTCCTTCATTTTTACACATCATTGACTAAAGGTCATCCAAAATTCAGGGGAGAGGGGAGGGAGGGAGTGAGAGAGAGGGGGGGAACAGAGGGGAAGAGAGCGGGCGCAGGGACAGAAGACAAGAGACACGGGGGACAGACAGGGGACGAGGGTAGGCACAGGAGAGGAAGCAGGGGGAGGGAGAGCGAGAGGGAGAGTGAGAGGGAGCAGGAGAGTGAGAGCGAGAGCGAGAGCGAGGAGTAGGACCGAGGGAGAAGGCATGGGAGCAGGGCAGGAAGAGTTCCCAGTTCCCTCTCTGGTTAATTGAAACCTTAAGTGGGCACAGGTGGGTGGGCATGGGGCGCAAAAAGCGGGAGCCAGTGTAAGATTCTTTGTTAGATTACCACAACACTATTTGGACAGTGACTTAACACTTGATGATGTCACACGATATGGCAGCTATCTTTGCTTCCTGCTGAAAAAGAGATATTAACAGAATTCAAACCAGCATTCTAAAGAACGAGAGTTCAACAAATCAAACTAGGAAGCCAAAAGAATCTAACTGCGATATCTTGAACAGGAAAAAATAGAGACTTTTTTGTAAGGTGTAGAGCTGGATGAACACAGCAGGCGAAGCAGCATCAGAGGAGCAGGAAAGCTAACGTTTCGGGTCGAGACCATTCTTCAGAAATGGGGGAGGGGAAGGGGATTCTGAAATAAATAGGGAGAGAGGGGGAGGGGGAGGTGGATAGGAGAAAGATAAAAGGACAAGATAGGTGGAGAGGAGACAGACATTTTTCCCTCCCCACCCTTATCTGCTTTCCGGAGGAACCACTCTCTCCGTGACTCCCTTGTCCGCACCATACTCCCCATCAGCCCCACCACCCCCAGCACTTTTCCCTGCAACCGCAGCAAGTGCTACACCTGCCCCTACACCTCCCCCCTCACCCCCATCCCAGGCCCCAAGAAGACCTTCCACATCAAACAGATGTTCACCTGCACATCTGCTAATGTGGTATACTGTATCCGCTGTTCCCATTATGGCCTCCTCTACATCGGGGAAACCAAGCGGAGGCTTGGGGACCACTTTGCGGAACACCTACGCTCGGTTCACAACAAACAACTACACCTCCCAGTCGCGAACCATTTCAACTCCCCCTCCCACTCCTTGGACGACATGTCCATCCTGGGCCTCCTGCATTGCCACAATGATCCCAACAGAAAGCTGCAGCCTTACCCTCGCATATTTTGCTTGGGTACCCTGCAGCCCAAGGGTATCAATGTGGACTTCACAAGTTTCAAGATCTCTCTTCCCTTGACCACATCCCAAAAACAGCCCAGCTCGTCCCCGCCTCCCTAACCATGCCTCACACTTCAAGCCCCACCCCCCTCTCCCCCCCACTAACCTCATCCCGCCCCCTTGACCTGTCCGTCCTCCCTGGACCGACCTATCCCCTCCCTAACTCCCCACCTACATTCACCTTTACTGGCTCCAACCCCGCCTCTTTGACCTGTCTGTCTCCTCTCCACCTATCTTCTCCTTTATCCATCTTCTATCCGCCTCCCCCTCTCTCCCTATTTATTTCAGAATCGCCTTCCCCTCGCCCATGTCTGAAGGGTCTCGACCAGAAACGTCAGTTTTCCTGCTCCTCTGATGCTGCTTGGCCTGCTGTGTTCATCCAGCTCTATACCTTGTTATGTCAGATTCTCCAGCATCGGCAGTTCCTACTATCTCTAAAACTTTTTTGTAACCTGTTTTATCATTAAGTTTGCCTAAAAAATCCAACTAAGAAGAGCAACTTCAGAACTTTCACAGTTATTGAGAAATCTCTGCTTTTGCAAGATCTTCAATCTAGCTGAAACATCAACTCAAATGAGAAACAGCAGGACTGCAAAGGAGAAAAAAAAAAGTGAAAAAAATTCATATTTATATTTATTGCCTATCTTCACCAGTATCTAACTTTTTGAGACAGATAAGAAAGGCAAGTTGTGAGTGAGTGAGTGAGTGAGTGAGTGAGTGAGTGAGTGAGTGAGTG